TGTCTTGAGATCTTCTTGAGTTTATAGGAACTGTCAGGAGTTGGGGCCTTTCAGAGCCACTGATTTTCGGATGAGGAAGGGAAGGGAGGCCCTTGCCTGGTCAGGTCACGCTGGTGAGAACTGAGGTCTCGGACCCGGCTCCTGCTCAGCCCCTTCTCCTGTGTTCTGTCTGACACATGTGGTCTTTGGTGTCCTGCCCCTTTCTTTCCTGAGGGACAACATCCTCCTGTTCCCCGTGCACTTCCACTTCCCTCTCCCTCCCCCACAGACGCACACCAGTCCCGCAGCGGCCCCCTGCACCTGGCTGTTCATGTGGAAGCCACCACTGAAGTCTCTGCAAAACACATTCCGCTCAAGCTTCTTATTAAAATGCCAAAGAGAGGAGAAAGCAGGGGAATTGGACAACTCCCACTCCAAATGCATCAAGCACCGCTGACCGCTGTGTGTACATTGGGAGAGACTCTTTCTCAAATAAATAGGGATCATTGTCCTTATGATTAGTGAAACCTAAGTCAAAGCACGAGTCCCAGGATGATTTTTTTTTTTTAAAGAAAGAGAGAGAGAGAGAGAAAAAAAAAAAGAATGACAAAATATGAGATAGATTCTGCAGCTTTGTCAGTAAAGGATTGCTATGGATAGCATTCTGCATTTACAAATGTGGCCCTTTTAAACACGTTCAAATACTTGCCTAGAACCCATTTGCCTCACTTTTACAATAAAACAACATGAGCAGGCCAAGTTAAGGGCTTGAAGCGGGTTTTTTTTTTTTTTTTTTTTTTTTTTTTTTTTGTATTCTTTTTCTCCTAAGCACTCTCCTCCTCTCTCTGCCCCACCTCTCATTTCTGAGTTGGGATAGGGATGGGAAAAGGGAACAGGGGAGGAATTGAGGCTTTTATAAAATATTCAGCTTTCAGTGGACAACATAATAGGACTGTGGCATCCTATACATAACGTGAGACAGCCCGGCTGGAAGGTGTGCCCTGTGCTGCTTGTCCTCCGGGTGGGTCTGGGGCGTGTTCTGGCAGGTCGCAGTCCTCGGCACTCTCAGGACTTGGGAGGAATAAAGAAAGGGTCCTTTCCTTCCCTCTGGACGGTGACTGCTCTGTGCTTGGGAAACAGGGGGCGGAATTCTTGTAGCTCAGTTCCATTGCAGGCCTGAGAGCCACTGATGGCTGCAAACCCGCCCCGGCTGGCTCATCATTTGCCCGTGACTCCAACGGCGGCCCTCCCCAGGGAGCCTGACATTTCAGGAAACTGGGCCAGCTCCCTCTCACCCTCCTTTCTCCCTACACCAATGGCACCATAAAGGGTGAATGGGGCAGGAAGCGCGGCTCCTCGCCTTCCACACTGAAGCTTTTGTGTCTGTGAGCAAACCGCAGCTGCCAAGGGGCTGTGGAGAGAGGAACCTGGGGAGGTGGTAAAGGAATATTCCCAGCGGGGAGACGGTGGGGCTTGTCTGACAAGCATTTGTTAACCGAATTGATCTGATTACTCAGGACTCGCCTTAGCCAGTCCTGGAGCAAGAGAGGGGCTGCCGATGCTTTTCATTCTCTTTAATTTCTGTTTTCCAAGAATGAATATCAAGGGAGCAGCCTTGATTAAACAAGCCTCTGAAAAGGGGTGGGAATGCCAGGTTCCACAGAAAGCTCTTGGAATCGCTGGCAAATGGCCACGTGCCACAATATTTTTAGTCTATGGATATTATCTTCTTTCTAAGCACGGAACTGCTATCCCCATTAACACGAGCTCATAGGTCCAGGGATAAAGGAAATTAGGGTGATGCTAAGAGAGAGAAAAAAAAAAATGGGGATTCCAGTAAATCAGACTTTTAATAAAAATTCCCCACGCTCCTAGTTCTACAGTTTTACCCTTTCTCTCTGGCTCTGTTTTTCTTTTTCTTTTTTCTTGTTCTTCTTCTTCTTTTTTTTTTTTTTTTTGCTGAGGCTATAGACAGAACTGGAGAAGATTTCATAATCAAGACTGGCATGACCAAATTCGAACAGATTTTTTTTTTTTAAGTTTGACAAGTTTTTTGTTGCTATATTTTCAAGGATTTTTCAAAAAAGATTTTAAGATCCTTTAAGTTTGGAATGCTGCTCTCAGATGGGAAACAGGCAAGAAGAAAACCCCAATATTTAACGCTTAACAAATATTTATTGAGCAGCTGTTATGTGGTAGGCTCTAGGGACATAGCCATGAGTACGACGAAGCCCTTTTCCTCCCAGATCTCACATTCTAACCGGACAGTAATAGTTCACATAGACAGAGGGCTCACCGTGTGCCAGGCACTGCTCTAGAACTGCACGACGGGGCATGCCCTAATTTGTTACTCTTTGTTGCACAAGCTCTCACAACTGAAAAGGGGTAGGAACAGGATTCAGACTCAGCTGTCTGCACTGAACTCCACGGCCCCCATTTGTGACGTTTCCATTCCAGACGGGTCTGAGTGTCCTCCTTCTCTCTTTCCATCACACTCTGTGTGTATCCCTTCTGGACGACTCTCCCGCATCTTTGTATCTTTCCTCCGTGGACCATAGCTTTTGCATAGAAGGACCTGACTGTCATCTCCATATCCCAAGACCTTGCACAGGGTGGGGGACCAACCAGAACTGGAGACCTATTCCGAGAGCAGTTGTCGGCAAACTCATTAGCCAACAGAGCCAAATATCCACAGTACAACGATGGACATTTCTTTTGAGAGCCACATTTTTTAAACTTGAACTATGTAGGTAGGTACATTGGTATTAACTTAATTAGGGTACTCCTGAGCTGGCCTTTGCTAAAAACGTGGTATTTTGTAGATGAGCCAAAGAGCTGCATGAGGCTCTCCAGACACGGTTTGCCGACCACTGTCCTAGAGCATTTCTAATCCTGGGAAAAGACATCCCCATTTAGGTGCAAGTGGTAAATGCCCTCCCCCTCCCCTTTGGGTCCATAAATCCTTGTTTCACATCTTGTGCGAACTTCTGACCTGTGGATACATGAGGATTCTCTGCCAGGGAGGCTCTGCTTACAGACATGGAACTGCTCCGTGTGCAGGCTGCTGCAAGCCTAGGCCGCTGCTTCCAGGCTGTGAGCAGGAGAGTTGAGGGGGAGGGAATGTGGCATTTAAATGTCATGCCTCTGAGTGCATATGCAATTGGGAAGCTGGGAGAAGGGCACTCCTTGGTACTACTATCCAAATGGTTCCCCTCAAAAATATTTCCTCTCTAAGTGACCGGCAAGAGAGACTTAGTAAAATACCTGCGACAGTAGCACACGGTGCCATCATTAACCAGCCGAGCTGTAAAATAAGATTTAAGACTCTGGGGAAATGCTCAGGCTATAAATGAAAAGCGCAGATACTATAACATCAGCCCAATTTTTTTGGAGGGTGTATCTTTGCATAGAAAAGAGCATAGGCTATCCATGAAAATAATGATGGCTACAACGGAGTTTCCTTTTTATACTTCTCTGTCTTTCCCAAGTTTTGTGTAAAAGATAATATTCATCACAACTAGGAAAATATTATTAATAGGAAATGGAAAGTAAACACTCTTTTAAATGGTTTAAAAACCTTATAAATGCCTGAAGGAGAACTTTAATGTCTTTTCTGTGTACCCTCTCTTCTCTGACAGGGAGCTCAGCTGTGATGACAATACCAAGTCTCTGGGTTGCCTTTGATTCTAGACTTCAGGGGCCGTGGCTGTGGTTGCAAAAGCTCCTGAAGGAGAGGTCATCCTCATCCTTGTAGGAAATAATAAAACCTTCTAACCTTAAAGCCCATCGGGCCCTAGCTGGTTTGGCTCAGTGGATAGAGCGTGGGCCTTTGGACTGAAGAGTCCCAGGTTCGATTTCAGTCAAGGGGACATGTCCAGGTTGTGAGCTCAGTCCCCAGTAGGGAGCACGCAGGAGGCAGCCAATCAGTGATTCTCTCTCATCATTGATGTTTCTAACGTTCTCTCTTCTCCTCTCTGAAATAAATAAAAATATCTTTTTAAAAAGCCCTTTGGAACAAATGGACATACACGTGTGACCCTTCACATTTCACAGCATGCATTGGAATTTAATCCTCATGTGACCTGAACTAGCAGTTGGTGGTATCATCCCTAAATGATAGGCAAGGAAGGGACTTGTCCCAACCAGAATTTGGACTCAACTCTTTGGATCCAGGTCCTTCCCCTGCATTGTTGACTCTATCAAGGGAGCACGGGCTCCATCTTGATGAGCACTGTGGAGAGCACAGGGTGGTCCTCCTATGAGCAGGCCCTTCGTGGACTGGACAGATAAGCTTATATTCCTGCCAGAGCAAAAGGTGCTGGGCAAAGGGTCTTCCAGAGAGCTGGACTGGGCACTGGAAGCCAAGAAGGACAAAGACTCTCAAGTACCAAAGACGCTGGAAGAGTTGGCCAGTGGCCACAGCCCTCAGATCAGATTTTCAAACAGACCAGCTTCTATTTCTCCAAACCAGCTTCAAACTTGAGCTCCGTTAAGTTCATTTTCTCTCACACTTGTCCTTCCCGTGGCCCTTCCATCATTTCAATGAATGATGCTTATGAACATTTGCACCCCCACTTTATCATAAGTTAGGTTAAGTATAAAGACCAGATCTCATTTACTCGAGTATTGTCCTGCTCCCAAAGGCATGGTGGCCGTGTGTAAACAGTGTTGGTTAAAGAAGGGGGCCTGGGCAGCGGCAGTGAGGATGCCGTGACAGAGAAAAGGAGATGGTCTCAGATGCAGAAGGCCAGGCAGGGCCTTCTATAGGTATTCTGTAACTAAAGCAGGGCCCAGTGACAGCTCCTCGGGATGTGGCAAAGTGGGGTCAGAGGCTCAGACCAACAGGTCCAGACGTTTCTTGATTCAAGAGCCATTAAGCCTGAGAACTCACTATTTGGGCTTCATCCCGATGCATCAAGAATGTTCCGTGAGTCAAGAATATAAAACGGGAATTGAACAGACATGTCTTCTGGGGAAAGGTAAGTGTGCTTAGTCACATTCTTTTTGTCCTTGTTTTTTAGTATTTCCTGATTTCTCCCTCGAAGAGCTTCGGCATGTCTGCGAATGGGACGCTCTTCTCCACAACAGGATTTGACTTTGAAGCAGGGCATAACAGGTAGCCTTTTGCCGATGACCTTGCTTAAAGTTCCTTTATCTGAGGCCAAGGAGCAGGTGTACTGCAGCCTGAGTGAGGGCACCTACGGAGGCCCTGGGCCGTTTGCTGCCTTCCTGGAAAGGGAATAAGGCAATTATATGGAAAGCCTCCTTCCCCATCCCAAATCTTCATCTGCAGATAATAAGAATGAAGGTGTGAGAGAGGGCGCCCAAAGCACGGGGAGAGGCAGCTGCCAGAGCCCTTGGCGAACATGAAAGCACAGGGTGGAAGTGAGCAGACGCGAAAAGACGTGAGGAGAGGCCAGGGTTGGAAGATGAAAACACACGGGCTCTTGGCTCTGCACGGGCTGTGAGAACCAGGGCCTGTGGCTTAATCCACAGGAGCCTCAGTTCCCTCACATGAGTGCAATACACACTTTGCAGAGATGCTGTGAGGAATGATGGAGATGGAATGTGCAAGTTGGAGGGCATGAGCACATGTGAGGGGTGGCCATGAATGAGACCTGCAGGACGAGAAAGGCAGGAGCGGGGTCTTAGAGGTGGGGAAGCAAGAGTGAGCATAGGATGCCAGACTCTGCAGGAGCACCTGTCGGGGTGGCAGAAAGAGAACAGACGTTCCTCCCCGCTCCCACCCCGCATTTCAAAGCTTGACTCCCACACTTGGACTGTTCTCCTGACAGTTACCTTCTCACTGTGGAAGTGAGGGATAGCCAAGGGCTCAGAGCGTCCACCTGGCTGCGGGTGAACATCGTGAACATCAACGACGAAATCCCACGCTTTACCAGGTAGGCCTGGGGCACATCTCTCTTAGGGGACAGAGCTTCCTCAGACACATTGAATACAAGAAAGAGAGGTGTCCTGCTCTGGCCTGGAAGAGAGGTAAGAGGCCTGAGATCATCAGTCTCCTTTCCCTGGGTCTGGGCTCCTGTCTTCCACCTTTGCTCCCCCTGACTCTGCACCCCCGTGTTCACATGCACCAAAGGATTATGGGTATGGCTGAACATGACGCCCCCATTGGAGGTTTGCCACTGGGCTTATGGAGAAGGTAAATACCATATAATATTTCCATAGTTTGGCTTTTCATGGTTTCAGTTACCTGGGGTCAACCACAGACTGAAAACATTAAATGGAAGATTCCACAAATAAACATTCATAAGTTTTCAATTGCACACAGTCTTGAGTGGTGTGATGAAATCTTTCAATGTCTGCTCCATTCCACTTGGGACATGAATCATCTCTTTGTCCAGCGTAGCCACACAGTATATGATCCTCTCCACCCCCTTAGTCACTTAGGAGCCCTCTGGGTTATCAGATAGACCAGTGATTTTTTCAAACGGTGTGCCGCAAGCATTTGTAAAACATGCTGGGTGCTCTGAGTTCCTTCCCGCCAAGGCGGGTCCAGTAAAGAGATCTGGCAGCTCCTGCACCCAGCAGAGGTGAGGAAGTAAGTGAATCTGATGGAGGCAGCCTCTGGGGATGTGCCCATCACCAGCCCCTGCACAAAGGGGAGACCTGAGCCTGTCATAGGTGGGGATTTAGGAGGGGAAGATAGGGTTTTGAGACAGCATAGGACCCTGCGAACAGCGTGGCTTACTGCAGAAGACTTGGCCTGCCCCAGTCACTGGTGGGCTCAGAGGCAGCCACAGGCAAAACCACCTGCCAGGGGTTAACGGCATTAATGGCTGTGAATATATTCAGCCAGGAGGCTTCACTACGCAGGGTGCTTGCAACCGACCGACTGATGACCTTGGGCCTCTTATCTCTCTGAAGTTGGGAGGTATTAAGACCACCCCACTCCCAGGCTGACCTGGTGCCACTTGGCAAAACGCAGCACAGTTGTGAAACGTCTGGATTTTAGCAGTCTACAGCCCAGGCGCTGGGTGTTGATGTGGAGGCAACAGCAGCAGATACATCCCCATGTAATGTCTCCCGACGATGTCTGTTGCCAGGGTAAGCTCAAAAGCATGAGGCATTGCACTTCTGCTGACGGGTTCCTCCAGGGGCACAATCCAGGCAGTTTATAAATAGTTATGACATCCCAGCTGGATTCAGACTCCACCACTGGCCACACAGCACCGTGGACTCGTCAGTAACCCCCAGAGGAAGGTGATGGCGATGGGGCCGGAGCTGACGCGTTCTGCAGCCCTCCCTGGCCTGCGAGGTGGGAAAACAGGCTAACAGAGTTGCAAAGGAGAAAATAATGTCTCCCAAGGGGGCAGGACTTGTAGACCATCTGCTTTGGACTACGTTTTCCAAAATAAAGCAATTGACCTCCGCAGAGAGAGAACATGACCTTGGCTGGTTGTTGGAGCCCCAGAGATCCATCTGGAACTCCGGTGCTCACTTTTTGGTTTGAAAGATGAACCTGTTAGGCTCCGTCCCAGACAGAGAGCATGACCTCTGTGGCCATCTAACTATTTTACAAAAAGCAATCGACCTTATTTCAAGCAGTGGTCCATGGCCGCTGGCAGGGATGGGTCTGTGAAAGTCTGCCTCTTGACGGAGGATTTGGGGCAGGAGTTGCCCTGACATTGCCCGGACTGCTGGTGGTGGCACAGCTCCTCAGAGTCAGTCAGCCTAGTTCCCCAGCCGTCCACGATCCAAAAGAGTTTGCTTAGTTTCAAACTAGGTGCTGACTTAGAGGGTTTTCATGATTCAGCCATGACCCCCCCCCACACCCCCACACCCCATCCACACACACACACACACACACACACACACACACACACACACCCACACCCCACTCCCCGAATCAGAGCTAGGACTAACCATAAATTGCTTCATTCAGGATTAACAAAATTAAATCCTCAAACTGACTCCAGTACAGTGAATCTGAGTGTGAAGCAAAAATGTAAACTGTGGAAACAACTCTTCCGTCTTTACTGTTTGCTAAGGTCCTACTAGGACCAAAGCAAGAACCGTTTCTGTTGATGAAAGAGTCTCCCTGACTGTGACAAACATCGGAATGCTTTGTGGTCTCATGAGTCCACGCTGGGAATCTGCTGTTATTCCAGGGGAGCACTTGACTATAAAAGCACTGGACTTACATTTTCTCTCCACGTGCCAAGCACGGTGCTTGCTGTTTTTGCAGAGCACTGTTTTTAGAGTGGGTCTTTCTTCCCCCTTCCACCCTTTTTTCCCCAGTCCTTTCCACCTGGTGCTTGGCAGTATAGACACAACTGTATGCACCTACTGAATATTTATTCATAGTGATGAAGTCATCACATCACGGTCACCCAGGATTCCCCCCTTCCCCCTGAGTGTGGCCACTGGCCCTTGTCCACTATCACCCAGGCTCTGGAGGTCCTGTTAGGAGGGAAAAGGTGCGGCAGTGAGTCAGAGCTCTACCCTAGGGGATGGCTGCAAAGCCCCAGGTTTCCCTGTGCTTTGAATGGATCTTAACTGTGGCCTGAGAGTAACGTCTTTACATTACATGATATTTTACTCACACTTGGGTTCCCAAACCAAATAACCCAAAGATGTCATCTTCTGCCAGGCTCAGTGTCCAGCCAGCCAAGGGGAGAATGTTTAACCTGAGGAGCTGCGCCACCCCCAGCAGCGTGCCCAGTCCCCTGCCCAGGGACCCGATTCCCTGCCCCCCCCACCCCCTCCCGGCATAGACCAGATGAGCCTTCGGAAGCAGTACAGTCTGAAACAGCTGACATTTGGAGCTGGATGCTTCCTTGTAATAGGGGGGCTGTCCTGTGCATTGTGGGGTGTTTTGCAGCATCCCTGGCCTCTACTCACCAGATGCCAATAGCAGCCTCCTTCCCTGACCGTGACAACCAACATCATAGCCTCCAGGGAGACCACAGCCTTAGGGAAGGAGGGAGGAGGAGCAGGGAGGGGGATTCTCCTCCCGAGGAGGCCTGGGCCTGTCCTATGAGAAGCTGGGAGCCTGTGCTTGTGACCTCTGGTGATTCCTTGTAACAGCCCTGCTCACACTTTAAAGTGCACGTCAGCCCCCCCCCCCCCCCCCCGGTGTCTTTTGAAAATGCAGATTCTGAGTCCGTGGGTTGGCGTGTGCTGAGGTCTGCATCCCCAGAAAGCCTGTTAGAAAGCAGGGACCTTGGCTGAGGTAGCAGGGACACGGCTGGGGTGGTGGCACAGGCGGCACGGGAATCTCTGATGCAGGGTAACAGAACCCACTCCAAGTAACCAAAGGGAAGCTCGAACAGGTTAGAAACAGGGGCTCTCAGATGATGGGCAAAAGGCTTAGTCCTGATGTAGGAGCTGGGGCTGGCCTCTCTCTCCTCTGGCTCTGGTTCGGTTCCTGCCATCCCTGCCTCCTCGGCCCTACTCACTTGTCTAATCCTGGACCCATCAGTGGGCACAGCATAGATCCCCTGAAGGGTGTGTGTGTGTGTGTGTGTGGTAAGTCAGTGGATTAACAGGCTGATTCAGTGGAACCCTGGAGGAGTCGGAGTCCATGGCACCAGGTGGCTTTTTGATCGGAACAAGATTCCTGTCCCCATCAGTGGATTCACCCCTGGGAGGTCACTTCATGAGTGGGGCAGGCCCTGGGTGCACAGAGGAAGAGGTTGGGGAGGGCATGGGCCCAGGTTTCTCTTCCTGCCTCTGGCTCTATCAGAGGTTCCCTCTCCCTTTTCCTGGCTCTGGCCCCACCTGCTCTCCAGGCATGATGAGAAAGAGATGTAGAAATACGCTTTTAAAAAATATGTATATTGCCGAAACCGGTTTGGCTCAGTGGATAGAGCCTGCGGACTGAAAGGTCCTGGGTTCAATTCTGGTCAAGGGTTGGTTGCGGGCACATCCCCAGTGGGGCGTGTGCAAGAGGCAGCTGATCGATGTTTCTCTCTCATTTACATTTCTATCTCTCTATCCCTCTCAATTCCTCTCTGTGTAAAATCAATAAAATATATTTTTAAATGTATACTTTTATTGATTTTAGAGAGAGGAAGAGAGAAGGAAAGAGAGACAGAAACATCAACGACAGAGAAACATTGATCAGCTGTCTCCAGCATGCCCTCTACTGGGTATCGAGCTCACAAGCCAGGCATGTGCCCTCACTGGGAATCAACCATGACCTCCTAGTTCATGGGTCGATGTTCAACCACTGAGCCACACTGGCCGGGCTGCAAAAATATTCTGAGCTCAGGAAATGAATGCCATCATTTAGATTTGAGATGTAGCCTTCCCTCTTAAAGAAGATCTCATTTGGGAAAAGCCACGTTTAGGAAATTGGCAAATTAGAGGTGACTATTTGCCCCACTGAAATGATTTTTTCTCAGCAGTAGGACTTCCTGCAGAGTAATTTTAAAGAATAAGCCTCCCTTGGTGCATTCAGAATCACTCAATTTACCCAAGTTGCGTAGTTAAAACTTCAAACCTCCCTGTCTTATTACCAGCCTTTTCTATAGGCAGCTGAGGTCTGAGGAAGATGGGTAAATTGGTGATTTGGGGCTATTTTGTAAAAGTCATCCTTGGAGGGTAGTGCTCTGACCTTGGCTTCTGCAGAGAGTTGGGGGGGAGGGGGAAGGTGCGCTCATTTCTCCATTCGGAGGGCTGACCTCATGATTAAATGCTATTTGGGAAGGTATACAAGTTCTGTGCATAAATTCTGCCTCCTCAAGCAAAAAAACAAGAAAAAAAAGGGAAGAAATTTTTTTAAAAAAACAACACTGAGCAGAAAAGAGATTTAAAAAACAAAACAAAACTAGAATAGAGGTTTACAACATGTCTGGCTGCCATGTGATGGGAATCAGAAATCTGTCATTCTGGACGTTATTTCCAGGTGGATTTTAAAAATCATCCAGAGAAATTCTGCACCAGAATTGGAAGAAAAAGAGAAGCTGGCTGGACAAACCAACCATGCCCGTTTTAAAACAACGATAACGCTGATCTGAAACGGCATCAGGTGTGGGTGAGGTCAGAGACCTCGACCCGTGTAAACCACTGCAGGAACTGCGTGGTGCTTTCTTTGCATCCACGGGGATGTGGTCCTTGGAAACACAAAAGCCAGCCTCCCATCCTTTCAGCTGCTGCGTCCTCCCTCTGTGCATGCTGATGCAACTTCCACAGCTCAGAGCTATATTTAGCATGAACCAAAATACCCACCTCCCAGTCTCTACCCTCCCGTGTCCCTGAAAATTAGCTGTGTCTGCTGTATTTCTGTTCCAGCCCAACGCGAATGTATGTGATTCCAGAGGAGCTGGGCACAGGAACCATCGTAGCCAATATCACAGCTGAGGACCCTGATAATGAAGGTTTGACCGGTTTCCTCCTCTACAGCATCACTACTGTTAACAGCTATTTCATGATAAATCAGTGTAAGTCACACACACGCACATCATTTATGTGCATCTTTTAATTCAGCCAGCCGTTTGGGTTGTTTTACAAGTAGTTTGTGTGCCTTCTGATCTGAGCATGCCCTTCTGTCTAGAATATCATAAGTTAATAGGGTAACAAGCTTCTTAAAAACAACTGGCATCACCCAGGCCGGTAGTCCTAGAAAGGCTGGGAACCAGCACTGCTCCAGTAACCTCAGCAGCTAAAGTTCTAGCCTCTTACCTGTAGCTCTACTATTAATCTGAATGGTTACCCAACTTACGTCTCTCAGCTACAAAAGTCTCCAGTAAGGGAACCCAGGGGGTCAGGCTGGAGTCAGCTGCCTACCAGTCCAGTCACCAATGGGCCCAACCCTGAAGTATGGGGTGAACAATTCTAGAAGGGTCAGGCCAGATACCCCAATCAATGTCCAATACATGAATTTACACATGAACTTTTAAAAATGTGTTTGTAAGAGGATAGATTCTGTGTAAGCCTATTCCCCATATCAGAATGTCCTTTTCAATGTCCTATAGGTCTCAATCTGCCTTTGCTCTTCATTTCTCTCCAAAGAGTCATGTTCTAATCTTTGCCTTCGTAGTGACCGGTTCCATCCAAGTGGCCCACAGGCTAGACCGAGATGCAGGTGAATTAAGACAAAATCCCGCCATTTCTCTGGAAGTTCTGGTGAAGGACAGACCCTTCGGGGGTCATGAGAATCGCATGCAGATAACCTTCCTGGTGCAGGACATTAATGACAACCCTGCTACTTGCAGCAAGTTCACCTTCAGGTACTCACACCCTGAGACACGTGCTGGGCATTTCACCTCCTCAGTGGTCCTCAGCCCTGTGGCTGCTCCGGTTAGTCTCAGGTGAAGCTGAAGAATTACAGGCGCTAGGACGTGGCTCATGAAATAAGTAGATTTGAAATGTTCGATTTAGTCGATAGGTTTTCCTTCCATCATCTTTTTTTCTTGCCTCTCTTTCCTTTTCTTTCCTCTTCGCTGTCTCCTTTCACCACTTTCTAACTGGGTTAAAAAAATATTTTTATTTTGCTCTCTCCTACAACTTTTTCATTTCCATCGGTGAAAAAGTACTACGGGGACTTGTTAGACTCTCTCTGGGCTGTGCCTTCCCTTTATTTATTGCCGTTCATGGAAAGAGGGTGCTGTTAGTGGTTATAATATATAGCTGCGAGAGAAACACACTGCCAGTAATGTGCATAAATCAAACCAAGTATTTACTTAAAACAAAACAAAGCATCCAATTCACTCGATGGAACTTAATTGCATGTAAAGGAAGGCAATAGGAAGGGGGGAATGCAGACACAAGTGGTATGCAAGTTATTTTCTGTGTCTTTGATCTGTTGTTTGTCTCACAATTTATTCGTCATTATTTAAAAACAAAGCCCCTTGTGAGTCTGGGTTAATATGCCCTTTTGAAAACAGTATTGTCTTTCTACTAAGCAGTTTGTCTAAATGTCACAAGTGTAGCAACTGCTGAGTTAGCTTCCTCTCCACAGTGCTTCTGGAATAACAGCATCGTGCTAGGATTAAGTGTGGCTTTGAGCATGGTATCAAACTGGTAAGCCCTGTTCTAGACACATTCCATTGCCCCTTCAGGCCCAGCCTCCAGCCTCCCTCCCTGCTCTGTCCCCAGGAGGCTGACTTGTGTAGATATCAATGGGCTCCCTTGCCCTGCAGCTTCTGGTTGGCCAGTAGGAGAGAGGAAGGAGTGGGGAGCATGAAGTCAGCGTGTTTATTCCCCTGGCTCCCTCCCCATCTGCTGGATGAATCCCTCCACCTCCTGAAGGTCTTAGTTCCTATAAGGCAGCCCTCAGCACATGGCACCGTCCATCCTGGATTCCAGTTTTAGGGACTGCTCCTTGCAATGGCTCCTCCGACCTAGAAATGGAAGATCCACTCTTACCAGGCCAGAGATATTGCACCATCCATTGATATTCCCATAAACCCTGCGTGTACCTTTGTGGTGGTCCCTTTACTAAACCTCCTCTAGAGTTATCCTAATTTGCCATTGGTTTCCTGCGGAGGCCCTCAGGTCAATAATAACCTTGATCCTGTGACAGGTTCCAATTCCAACTGAAACCTCAGAGCCTGTTTGATGGGTGGAGATGGTGCGATGGGTAGTTAGGATTGTGACGTCTACCCCAGTACATGTGTAAATCGAATCCACCACTGTTACCAGAAGTCTGGGCCCTGGGGATGGAGTAGAGATGATATGCAGAGTCACACCTCTACTTTCTTGGAAAATCTAAATCTATGCTAGTATACTTGGGTGGCTGCAGTGCATCCTGGGGAATTCCTCTCCTCATATGCTGCCCTGCTAGGCCCTGATGCTCTTCTTCTGTTCCCTGTCCTAAAGGCGAGGACAGGGGTTGAGGAGTAAGAAGTCTGAGTGCTCACTGGAGAGGACTGTGCTCTCTCCATGCTTCCTGTCAGCATCTCCCCTTAGTGCAGTGCTGTTAAACATACACTGTGGCTTCCTGCATGGTATGGCCGTTTGCAGACAGCATTCCATATTGACTAGCAACATCACATTTTAAATATCCTATAGTGGTCGACAAACTCATTAATCAACAGAGCCAAATATCAACAGTACGACGATTGAAATTTCTTTTGAGAGCCAAATTTTTTAAACTTAAATTTCTTCTAATGCCACTTGTTCAAAATAGACTCGCCCAGGCCATAGTATTTTGTGGAAGAGCCACACTCAAGGGGCCAAAGAGCCGCATGTGGCTTGCGAGCTGCAGTTTGCCAATCACGGCCCTAGACTATCCAGGTAAATCCATGCAGAATCCTACTCTTGATAATCTTCTCTCTAAATTAGCCTTGAAAGTCAGGGCCAGAAGTAAGTGAACTAATTTTATTTATTACTAAAGGCAATTCTAAATAATGCTCAAGTCTCTCCTCGGGCTTTTAAAGTGAGAGTAGCCTAGATGTTAGGAGGGACAACAAAAAGCTCCTTGGAGGTCTTTACTCCCAAACCCAGCCTCATTTGCATACTGCAGGGGCTGGGAATCCTGACCCTGCATCACCTCCCATCCTCTGTACCTTCTTACCTCCTTCCCCTTTCCACCATGCCAGAGTCCAAGCTCACAGGAAGATCAAAAGCACACCAGACAACAGAACTAGTGCTGCCACCTCGAACAACATTTGTCTCTAAATATTTACTCCTTCAGGGCTCAAGGTTCTTGGTGCCATCCGTGCATTGGGGTTTGGGAGAGCAGGCAGAAGAGGGTGGGAGGAGGCAGGGCTGCGTGCCTGGCCTCGGCTGCCTTGTGAGTCTCAGGCTCTCAGCTGGGCCAAAAGGGAAATGGCCCTTTGACCCAGGTCCCTACTTTTCCCAGGCTGGTGATGAATGAGCCCAGGCCCTGATGGAGGCATCAAAAGCCTGCGACAGCCCCACTCTGGTTGTAAACTATGAGGCTGAAAGTGCTTCCTGAGAGCCAGAGCCAGAGAAGGCCAGCTGATTTCAAATGCCACTGGCCAGCCACCTTTGCCTGGGGAGGGAACCGTGGTCAGATGGCTGGGAGTGGGGACAGCCTGCTTTTGAGGCAGGGGTTGATGAATGAGGAGGAGTGGTTTTCCAAGTCAAGTGTTGAGGAGGAAAATACCAAGTGTCAGAGGCGAATGAAAAGCACATGCCAGGCAGCCCTGAGGGGCTGAGTGTGTGAATAGTGAGTCATCTGGCTTTGGGACCCTGGATTCTTTGCATGATGCCACCTATTCCCAAACCATCTGTGGGCCTGGAGACTCACTGAATCATGGAACTTGATGTAGTATTTACTGCGACCCTAACGCAGACAATAGGATATTGTGCCTGCATGCATCCACTTTCTTGGACAGGTCTTGAAACCACTCCAAATGACTCTTTCTTCACCTATAAAAAGGGGACAAGAATATAAACCTTTTGGAGATAAGGGGATTGGATATGATATTTTTATTTTTATTTATTTATTTTTTGGAGATGATATTTTAAAAATGATACAGCATATAGTTGGTGTTTAATAAATGACATCTATTCCAAATACTTATGAATAAAAACCATGACACTGTGTTATGCAAGGCAGGAATGGAAATGCTTGGACTCCAGTCCCTCGGAAACACGGAGGAGATCTTTGCCAATGAGGCATCATGGAGATTCAGTTACATCTGTCAGGAAAAGTGCTTTCCAGGAAGCAAACCCAGTTACCCTCAGCAGCCTAAGACCATCCTTGCTGTCAGAATTTGCTCCACGTTCGCTGTGCCCAGAGCCCATTTTAGCTGCCAATAGTAGAAGGGAGCACAATTTGGTGGTAGAGAGCTGATTGTTCAGAGGATGAAAGAAGTGAACACATTAGCCTGGGTGCTCTGAGAAGACACCATAGGATTACATGTTAAAGGGAAAATGTTAGGGAAAATGCCTGCAGGAGACAATGAGGAAGATGGGAGAGTCCCCAGACCATAACGCAAATCTGACCTGAATGAAGGAAAGAGGGGGCGATGGGCAGAAATGTTCTAGCATGCCATGCTGCTCATGGAAGGCTCGTCTAGGGTACTAGACCTGAAGCCAAATTCAGCTGTCATAACACCGGAAGGAGCCTTAATCTCTGCCATGCCCAGTCATGGACACATGGCCTCATGGCAAATGTAGCAATGAGTTTCAGAGCCCAGCAGCTGGCATCTGGGGTCAATTATGTTCCTGTGATTGAAGGTCTTCCAGGCCCATTCTCATGGCAGCCAAATACACTTTTTGTAAGAAATTCTGCCCGAGGCAAACGATGATTGAAGGTAGGTAGCAAAAACAAATAAACAAACAAAGTGAAAAACCCAAACACCAGCCACAAATCCCTCCCTGCCTGTCTGCGGGCGCCGAGCAATGTGATTTCACCGTTCTTCCCATCAAGTTAGGGTTTCTCTTTCTACTTCTTGGATCTGCCCTTGACCACATCAGTTGCTTTGGCCATTGGAACATTCACAAATGTGGCACAGCAGAGGCCGGGAAGAATACGTGCCTGGGGCTTGTCCTCTTTTTGCTACTTTTGGAAACCTGAGATCTTCATGTGAAGAGCTAGTTCCCGGAGGACGGGAGACACCATGAAACAGACCGACCACCTTCCTGCCATCAGACGTGTGAACATACATGGTCATCCTAGTCACCTAGCCCCAGCCACGCTGCCGGTGACCACAGCCAAGCTGAACTAGCACCCCAAGAGTGAATGGATAACCCTTCATATTGTGAGAACTCATATGTGGCTGTTGTTTTCAGCCACTCAGTTGGGGCTGGTTTGTTATATAACAAAAGCCAACTGGCATCATGTACGTCCATTTTATGGATGGGAAAACTGAAACCTGGAAGCAGGATAGAGTTCCTCAATGAACTGAAGCCTCTTGGTGTTAATCATCCTTCCTCACTCTCCCATACCAAGCTGGGCGTGACCAGCTAGCTCTTGTTTGGGGGCAGTTTTACTTGTGCTGTTTGCTTAGAACTTGGGATCATTGGGAGATTAGGAGCCCTGAACTTTACTCTTAATAAACCTCTATTGAATGAATGATACTAAGGTCTTAGGAGACCCTTCTATGATATGGATGCTACTAGAACACAAGTAAGAGGAATTCCCAGTCTTTAAAGCATGGAAGGTGAGGGGTGCAGGGTATTTTTTAACCAGTGGAGCTCCTAGCAGGAAGTGGAAGAGTTTATATTTTTCTTAAATTCTTCTTTACATTCTTCTTTACTACTGGGCTAGTCTCGTAAGCTACCGTTCATTCATTCAACAGATACCTATCAAGCATGCCTAGAACAAAGCAGACCAAGATCCCTGTCCCTGTAGAGCTTATAGTCTAGCGGGGGAAAGATGATGAACTGGGTAAATAAGTAATCTCTTTAGTATATTGGAAAACAACAAGAGCCAAGAATTAAAAATAAAAGGGGGAATGGGAGAGGAAGCAGTGGGCAGGGCTCATTCACAGTTTAGATAAGAGAGCTGGATTGCCTCCTGAGAAGGTAACATTGGATTAGAGATTAAAGAAAGCATGGACCTCTCTGGGCAGGGCATCCCACAGTGAGGGAATGGCCCTGAGGGCAGAGCCTGGGGTGTTCAAGGAGCACAACTTCCTCCTGTCCATCACCAAGCACACTGAAGTGGTCTCCAAGCTTTTCTCCTGCGTCACCTTCTAAAATCTCAAGCTAGTCGAAACTGGTTTGGCTCCGTGGATAGAGCATCGGCCTGCGTACTGAAAGGTCCCAGGTTCCGGTCAAGGGCATGTACCTCGGTTGCGGGCACATCCCCAGTATGGAGTTTGCAAGAGGCAACTGATAGATGATTCTCTCTCATCGATGTTTCTAACTCTCTATCCCTCTCTCTTCCTTTCTGTAAAAAATCAATAAAATATATTTTAAAAAATAAAATAAAATCTCAAGCCTCTGCTGCCTCCCCTTTACCCCATACAGGGAACAAGGAAGTGCTGAATTCAGATAGGTAAGTGTGAGGGGTGGTGGTGCACAGGTTAAAATGAGGACGTTGAGTGCAGTGAGGAGCCACGTGGGCGTTAGGAGCAGAGGAGTGGCCGGACCTGACGGCATTTATCAGGATCCCTCCGGCAGGGGTGTTAAGGACAGCCAGAAAGGAGGCTGGGGCAGAGCAGGGACTTTAGTGAGGCCGTTACAGCAATTGCCATGGACTTGCTTTGAACCGAACTAAAGCAGAGAAGTGTAGCCTGGGTCTATGTCAGAAGGAAGCCTCTGTTGCCGGGTGTTGGGGGAAATATTAAGTCGTGTCTCTCCGCCAGCATTATGGTGCCTGAAAGAGCAGCCAAGGGGACGTTGCTTCTGGACCTGGACACGGTCTGCTTCGATGATGACAGCGAAGCCCCTAACAGCCAGTTCAACTTCACCGAGCCATCTGGAGTGGGGAGCCGCCGCAGATTCTCACAGGAGCCAGCTGGCTCTGGGAAGATGGTGGTCAGTGAATGGTCATTGTGTTGCTAAGAGGGCATGGGGGAAGCTGGGCTAACATGCACAGTACTTCCGCTGCCCCTGAGAGAGCAATTTCCAAGGCGACTCCCTCCCTGCATGGCTGTAACGGACACACGTAACCATGACTCTGTGTTCCCCGTTCGCTCTTTATTTTACCCAAGTTCCGAATTGTCTGTTATGCACAGTTATGCCTGGGGTGCTAAAAACTGAATTCTCTCTTGCGTAGCTGCCGTTTGCTCTGCCTGCTTAGCTGCCTCCTGGGCTCAAGCACTCTGGTGTGTTTGAGTGCTCCTGGACAGTGGTGGTGAGAGGTGAGAGAAAGCAGGCCTAGAGATGAGAGGAAGCAGGTGAGTGTGTCCTGCTAACTGCAGCCCAGAGGAAAATGGGCAAGCGAGGCTGTTTAGGTAGCCTCACTCTACGGCATCCCCACCGGGGCAAAAGCAGACTTGGAAGCAGGGTGGGCAGGAAAAGCAGATCTCGCAGGAAAAGCTGACCTGGCACAGTAATTGAACATTGACCTATGAACCAGGAGGTCACGGTTCGATTCCCAGTCGGGGTAAATGCCCAGATTGCAGGTTAGATTCCCAGTGTGGGGGATGCAGAAGGCAGCCCATCAATGATTCTCTCTCATCATTGATGTTTCTGTCTCTCTTCTCCTTTCCTCTCTGAAATCAATAAAAATATATTAAAAAAGAAAAAGAAAAGAAAAGCAGATTTCAGGGAGCTATATGAAGGGAAAAGGAAGGGCAGAAGGAGGCTGTGGGGGTGTTTGGGGGGGGCAGAGGTTCTGATTCCAGGGGGGAGGGGGCTTTGCGTCAGAGATAAATCCTCAGGGAGGAGAGCAAGCAGCCCACTAGGAGGCATATTCTCACCCATCCCCTTCTCCACCTCCTATCCCAAGCTCTTCTTTTGTCCCCATGAGCGTCTTTACCAATTTTATTCATAGTGTCAGCTAAAAAATAATTTTAATCTTTTTCTGTTTAAGAAATTAATACATGCTCGATGTAGAAAACATAGAAAAGCATTGGCATTCATTGATAACCACGAATAGCATTTTGGTGTATTTCCTTCTTCACTGTACCCAGATTTTATGTATATTCTCTCCATATAAGCATACGTATTTTAAATGATGGAATTATTCCTGCATATAGGATTCTGTAGTGTGCTTCTCTTCAGCTAACCTGCAGTCTTGAGCCTGTTGGGCAATAGTACTTGAGAAACGTCTTTAAACATAGATTCTTCCCAATAAATTCTTTAGCAGTGAGCAGAGAATGGACGCAGTGGACAGTCATTGGGCGTAGCGCTTTAAAGTTCCTTATGCAGGCAAAATGCTTTCCAGAAAGGTTTTCCAGTTTGCATGTCTACTTATAGAGAGAAAAATGTCTTCATCAGTTGAATTAAAAGGGATTGCTTTTCTGTGTTCTAATCTGATATCTCTGTTTTAATCTAGTTGATTGGTGATCTCGATTATGAAAATCCTAGTAATCTAGCAGCCGGCAATATATACAGTGTGACAATCCAGGTGCAGGATGTTGCCCCTCCCTACTACAAAAGCAAGTATCGTTTTGACTTATGTCATGATTGAAGCATCTTCCTTGAGCAGCAGTGACTAGGCTGCCAGGCAGTACTCAGCTCAATGTTGGGCTAGGTGTGTGTGTGAAAGAGGAGACGTCACAAAACCCAAATGCTTGGGAATCAGCCCTGCTTCCTCCTGTCCGTCACCAAGCACACTGAAGTGGTCTCCAAGCTTTTCTTTGGTGTCACCTTCTAAAACCTCAAGCTTCTGCTGCCTGCTCCCACCCCACCCCCAACCCACTAGTGCTGCTCAAATGCAGAACCTCCTGTTTCTTGGCTGAATTACAACATTTGAGAATCTTTAACACGTTAATTGCCCTGTCAGTCACTGGGCTGACTATATTTTCCATGTGTTAAGGATCTCTCTGACTTTGTCTTGTTCTTTTCCAAAGCATCCTCCACATTTCTGACAGTGATTTTTAGGAAATGCAAATGTCATCATATTACTTTCTTGTTTAAAGCCCTAGAGTGTCTCCCCATAGCTGTCAAGTTCAAGTTCTAATTCTTTGGCACCCAAGGACTTTCACCATTCCGCCCTTGCCTTTAGCTCCAGCCTCTTGCTTCTAACCCTCTTTTTTCTAAGTAGGCCAAACAACTTGCCGTTTTTCTGAATGAATCGTGCAGTTTATACTTTGATATCCATGCACATGCCTAGAATCACACCCCAATGATCCCCCTCCCCCTATTTGTCTAGCTCTAATGATCTTTGTGAAGCTCAGCTTGCACTTCCTCTGGCTTCTGTAGTGACCTGTGCATTTGTTTATCAGAAGGAACTGCCTGAAGCATCTCAAAGGCAGGAACTTCCAGGTCTTATTCTCCTTGCAATCTCAATATTTTGCACAGCACCTGCTATACAGGAAATGCTTTAAAAATCATATATAATAAAAGCCTAATGTGCTAAGTGTCTGGTCATCTCCTCGGCCATTCAACTAATCAAAGCATAATCTGCTATTGATATGCTAAGACTGCTCAACCACTGGCTATGACATGCACTGACCACCAGGGGACAGATGCTCTGACTGGTAGTCCAGCTGATTGGGACTGAACTCTCCTGCAGTCCCTCCCCAGCTGGCCAACCTCCCTTGTCCCTCCCTGACCCTGATCATGCACCAATGGGGTCCCTGGACCTGGCCTGCATTCTCTCACAATCTGGGCTGAGGGACCTATCCTGTTCCCCCACCCCAACAACCAGTGCACAAATTTTGTGCACCAGTTCTCCAGTGTTTAATAAACAACTCAATGAGAATAGAATACTGTGGTTTAAATGTTTTCTGTTTCTCTTTTTAGATAACATCTACATTTATGTCCTAACAAGCCCAGAAAATGAGTTTCCTCTTGTCTTTGATCAGCCATCCTATGTCTTTGACGTGTCAGAAATAAGCCCAGGTGAGTAATTGATGAAAAACAGGCCACATAGCTCTCTTGACAGACTCTAACCAGACGTGCACTCGGCGGAGGGGAAGCTCCGTTCCAGAGGCCCTGAGTGGTGTTGTGTGCAGCGATTCACAGCTGAATCGAGTTTATTGCATCTCTTATTCTTTTTAAATCACTCTCACTGCTGAGGAGCCCTTCAGGTGAACTCTAGATTTTGAAAACTGTTGATTAAACTGCATTTCTCTGAACCCCCTGATTGCTTGCCTGAGTGCTTGATTCCCCTAATCTTCCTTTGTTGTAGCCGACGTTTTCCCTCAGTCTCCACTGTGATGTTTATCTAGCTCATTCGGAGAATTGAAATTTAAAAATAGAGAAAAGGTTTCCCATTTCTAGAGTTCCTTCATTTAAAAACAAAATAAAGACATCTTCTCTCCCTTATTAGGGTTCCCTGGAGGCCTCTTTTTTGCCCTTCACAATGCCTGGATTTCTGCAGGCTCTTCCCCTTAAAAGAGGGGACTCCTCCCCCTCCTCCTCCCTCCACCCCCCTTCTTTCAGTTTGACAGTGGTCTGGTTAACACCAGTAATCAGTTTTTGATTCTTTTATCATGGACACTACTATATTTAAAACCAAAGGCTAAATTAAAACACTCCTAAAATTATACCCTCTCCATTTTATTCTCTCTTTATGATGGTCTCTATTTCCTGACATTAAGTTTTAAAACATCAAAAAGAGGGTCTAAAGGAAATGGTTTTAATTCTTTATCCCTTACCCAGTTCCTACCAAGTGCAATAGGAATAGGCTCTTTGTCAATTCAGAGACCCCCCTCCAGTTATTGATCCCCTACTTTGAATCAAGCGCCTGGTGCTGGGGTTATGTTGAGTAGTTGGATGAGAGAAGGTTTCTACTGTTGAGGAGTAAAACTTAGGAAAACGAACTTCCACAAAACAAGCAAGCCAGAGCAGCAGCAGTCCCATCAACAAGGTTTGTAAAATAAACAAAATGGAACAGTATTTAAAAATCGGTACCCTGTAATATGATGTCTAATCTCTGGGGTGTACAATAGAAACTAATGTAAGACTGTATGTCAACTAATTGAAAAAAAAAATGATTAAAACATTTTAAAAAATCTATATTCTGTAATCATTGCTAAACTCTTACAAATTATTTATTTTTCACCCTAACCGGTTTGGCTCAGTGGATAGAGTGTCCACCTGTGGAGTAAAGGGTCCCAGGTTCGATTCCAGTCAAGGGCACATATCTTGGTTGCAGACTCCTCCCTGGCACAGGCCTTGGTCAGGGCTTGTGCAGGAGGCAACCAATCCATGTGCCTTTCACATCTACCCTGTTTCCCCAAAAATAAGACAGTGCTTATATTAATTTTTTTCTCCCAAAGTTGCACTAGGTCTTATTTTCAGGGGATGTCTTATCTTTCCATGTGCCAGGTCTTATTTTCGGAGGATGTCTTACTTTTGGGGAAACACTGGTATGTTTCCCTCTGTCTTTCCCTCTTTCTTCCACTCTCCCTAAAAAAAAAAAAAAAAAAAGAAAAAAAAAATCAATGGGAAAATATCCTCGGGTGGTGAGGATTAACAAAAAACAAACAAACAAAAATTGTTTATTTTTCATCTCATGTATTACAGAAAGTGTGAAAAATACAAAAGACTTTTGGAATGCGTTTTGCAGTGTTGCGTATGGTAGCATAATGACTGGCAATGTTGGAATCTGCATAAAGGCATGGATTGTCTTTTATGCCTCACAGTATGGTTTGGATCACAGGACCAGTGACCTAGTGGGCGTTCATTAGCATAATCTGAATTTAATAGAACGGAAGATATAAAACATCAGAGTTTGAACAGTAAAGGGACCTTCAAGAGCCTTTCTGCCCTCGCAGAGAGAGTGTCTGCTCCTGGACCCTCCCTGCACCCTCCGAGCAGAACTAATCTCGGGCACTTTGTTCTTCCAGCCAGAGCCCGGATTGGACAGGTGCAGGCCTCTGACAAAGACTTCCCCCAGAGCAGCACCGTGTACTCCATCTCCACTGGGGGGGCCAGCCCCCAGTACCCAAGCATATTTTGGATTAATCCCAAAACAGGAGAGCTCCAGCTGATGACTAAAGTGGACTATGAAACAACCCCCATCTACATTCTCAGCATCCAGGCCACCAACCACGAGGACACCAGCTCCGTCACTGTGAGTGGGTCTGTTTTGGTGTGTTCACGCCAGCCTGAATGGCTGATATAGGGTGTCTCTGAAGATATCGTAATAGGGCACATCCTCCGGATGTGACAGGAATTGACTAGTGGTGTCCAGGACGGTACAATCGGACTCACAGAGTGGTGTCCAGGAAATAAAGATGGACGCCAGTGTGTGTGGGTGACTGGGAGGAGTGCTGAGGCTGATGGTCTCTCTGTAGGAGAAATGTTCTCTTGTTGCCCTTTTACACATCCCCGTGCTCTCACAGTGGGCTGGCGGGGAGATGCTCGCTGTCACACGTGGGGTGTGGTTTTGTAGCGATGCATGTCCTCCCCACTCCCAGGAGCTTTGCTGTGTTTCTATCCTACCCCCGCCAAACCAGATGAGGCAGACCTTCAAATGATGTGGCTTGACTGGGGCTACCCTTCTTCTCAACCTTTGAGGCTAAGAACCTGGTTAAAGGCAGACTCTGAGTCCTCCAGTCTGAGAAGGGCCCGAGAGTCTGCATTCCCAACAGGCATCCAAGGGGTGCCGTCGCCCCTGGGGCCCGCATTTGGAGTAACGAGGGTTTTATTTGTTTGTTTGTTTTTATATTTTATTGATTTTTTTACAGAGAGGAAGAGAGAAAGATAGAGTTAGAAACATCAACGAAAGAGAGACATCGATCAGCTGCCTCTTGCACACCCCCTACTGGGGATGTGCCCGCAACCAAGGTATATGCCCTTGTCCGGAATCGAACCCAGGACCTTTTAGTCCACAGGCTGACGCTCTATCCACTGAGCCAAACCGGTTTCAGCTGGTGTAACGAGGTGTCACAGGTCTGTGCTGTCAGTGGTTAGGGTCATCTGACACTAATATGATGGCCACAAGGACATCTTGCTCTTTCCCATTAGTGAAGTGAAAAAGCATAAGGCAAAAGGAACTCTCAGCTAACGGCAGGCAGCCCCATGTGATAGAGGAAATGACTGGAGACAGAGTTCATTTCTCAACTTTGATCCCAATTTTCCAAGGGGGGGTTGGAGCCGTGCGTATCTCCGTGTCCCAATTTCTCAGTCTTTTAAATGGAAAGTCACCTGATCACCCAAAGCCTGACTAGTCCAGCTCCTCTCCTGACTTGCTTTGAATTATCTGGACGATGGTTTTAATGATGCGTGAGACTCAGCATTGCCTGCTGAGGGAGAGACGTGCTAAACTGGAGATAATTGTAGTGTTTGTTAGGCAGGCTTTTTTTGGGGGGGGAAATGAATGGACTCCACTCTGGGAGCTGACTAGAGTGAACATTTCAATTTATTCCAGGTCTCGGAAATTGTTGAAATCCCCAAATTTCAAAGGGAGAATAAATTTGACTCAAAATTTGTAAGCTTTTCAAAAGGGTGATGATCACATAAGTCCCTTTCGGGGCTGACAGTCTATGATTCTGTGCTGGCAGGCGTCCCAGTCCATATTCCAATCCTCCAGGCATAAAAGACAGCAGTGAAAGAATTGCCTGTCCCTGCTCGTGGCAGGTGATCACCACCCGCTTAGTGCATCCTAATAGCCCGGGCTACAGATGAGATCCCAGCTAAGCCAGGTTCTTTCGTTTCATCCCAGTGGTTCTCTAGCCTGGCTGCATATTAGAATCAGCTGGGGAACATTAACAAACAAAAAAAAAAGGTACTGCAGAGTCCAATTTATTTGGTCTGGAGTGGGCCTGAGAAAGCAGGGTTGAGAATCATTGCTCAATATCCCCAAGTTAAAAATGTCACCTCCAATTCACAAGGACAGTGAGCAAGGAAGTTTAGAGGCTCACTGTGAACCCATCATGATTATTGGAAAGACAGCCCAGCATTATCTGGGGATGAGCCCCATGTGTTTAGGTGCATTTACGTGGGGCTCTATGAATGTATACATATATTATGCACACGTGCACACACACACAGAGTACAGAAGTTAATAATATAAGGCTTGGAGGAGTAGGGTAGGCCTGTGTTCAAACCCAAGTTCTAGAACTCACCAGCTGAATGGCCTTGAGTCAATTATCTAATCCCTCTAAGCCTCAGTGTCATCATCTGTAAAATGGGAATGATCATATCATCTATCTCCGGAAAGGTTAAATGAGCTAGACCACAAAAGCGCAGAGCCCCGGCCGGGCCTGGCACACAGGAAGCGCTCAGTCAGTTTTAGCTGCTGACAATGGCCACCTTTTTGCCATTCCAGGTTACTGTTAATGTCCTGGAAGAAAATGATGAAAAGCCAATTTGTATCCCAAACTCTTATTTCCTGGCCATCCCAGTGGATCTGAAAGTTGGCACAAACATTCAAAATTTCAAGCTGATGTGTACTGACCGTGATTCCAGCCCCAGGTCCTTTCGCTACTCCATTGGCCCAGGTACGGAACCTGACAAGGCTCTGGGGTGGAGCCTTAACCGCTCGCTGGTCATGGAGAATGGGTGGGGGGCTATGCTCTCATGCTGATCTGGGCACAGTGTGTATGGGTGTGGGGTTGTAAATGAGGAAAGCAGGGATAAGGAGCGTACTGGTCCCAGTGCCTCTCCGTCCTCATCTTGGCTTCCCCTTCTCTTCACCTAACTCCTCCCAGATTCCCACACAAGGCTGCCCAGAGGCCCAATGGAGGGTGTATGCCACTGATGGTGACCCCCAAATTCCAAGACTATATCAACTGATTCATGAGTATTATTAATGTAGTTGAATTTTTTTTTAGACCAACTGCTTGACCTGCAAGCTTATAATGGGGGCAGGGAATCCCAGTCCTCTCTCTGGATGATAATAGATTAAATAGATTCTATGCATTTTAAATGTATCCTCAGGAATTCTCTTCTGCTCCATTCATTTGCTCTCTTTAAAAATATACCACTGTGTGTGGGGAAGGGTGGGTGGTGGTAGGATAGCAAAGGGAGTGGTAGGGGGGAGGGGGAACAGCACCCCTCAATGGAAGTAAGACCAAAATAGCTCATCTAATGAAGTGCTGAGGTCAGAGATTTAAACCCAAACAAGCAGAACAATTCCAAGTGAAAGACTAAAAACCCATCTTGGCCGCCTGCTGGGCCCTGGTGAGCATGAACTCTGAGCAGTAGGGAGCCTCTTGAGCAGACTGTGTCACAAAACCAGGGGCAGAGGCAGCCTGGAGACTGCAGTTGCCGAAGATGGAAATAACACATACTGAGAACCCTCAGGCCTTTACGGAGCACTTCGCTGCTAAGGGAGTAAAAATTGCATCATCTCCTGCTCCATTTACTGGTTTTCCGTCGGTAATGAGTCTGGAGCCACTGGAGGAATGAGCAAGGGCTGCCTGGGCGGACAGCCTTCCTGCACTGTTCTCTGAGCTGTGAGCCTTGAGTCCTAACAGACTGATGGGGGTGGGGGTGGGGGGTAATTGGGTAGATTCAGGAGGGCCCAGGACTGCAATCCCTCTAGAGGAACTCCAGGGACATATGTCACCAGTTCTGTGTGGCCCACCAACTCCCACGAAAGGCATGAAGTGAATTTGCCCTATGGCTAGGGATGTGGCCCCCTCAACCCTCGTGTGCCCACTTCTTGGTCTGAGAGCAAGTTACATGTGGTTTCCAAATAAATGCTGCATGATAAGGATTGGCTAGAGTGGTCGCACCAGGATTATGCAATCTCTGCCTGATGCTCTGTACGATAGCGGCCATTCTCCTGGGACAGGTGGGCTGTTGTCCTTTCCTGCTCTCATCCTTGTTGCAGCCACACTGGTTGTGAACAAGGCTTTCTTTATTCTCATGGAACTTTCTGGTACAGACAAGGCCGATAGTGTCACCCCTGATGCATGGAAGTAGTCTACACAGAGGTATGGACGTGTGTGGAAAAGACTGGACGTAGTTTTCCGCTAAACATTTGTTTCTCACTCTCTTTTCTTCCTTTGCCCCAAATCCTTGTCTCAAAATCTCCTTTAGGCAATGTCAACCGTCATTTCACCTTTTCTCCCAATGCTGGGTCCAACATCACACGCCTGCTCCTGGCAACTCGTCTTGACTATCCTGGTGGGCTGGACAAGATCTGGGACTACAAGCTACTCGTCTACATCACTGATGACAACTTGCTGTCCGGCAGGAAGAAAGCTGAGGCTCTGGTGGAAACAGGGACGGTGACACTGAGTATCAGCGTCATTCCTCACCCAACCACGATTGTCACTACGACCCCCCGGGTAAGGATGTGGGGACCTGCACCCCTCAGATTCTTGTGATTAACGCCGATGGAGCCCTTTGACCCAGGAGAGATATGTGGGTCGGCTGAACAGAGTTGAGGTGTTAGGATGTTGCCAGAAATGGCACCCAGGGGCTACAGTGGAGTAGTCACTGTGGGTAAATAGAGATCTGGGGGAGGCCTGAGACTCGTAGAACCATTAACGTTACCACTTTTGCTAAAGAAGGGAGTACACTTGTGTAGGAACTTGTGCTAGATCAGGTACTGGAGACAATGTTCATGGGCACGTGGCTAGCTGCTCTCTTCACAAGCCCTTCTCTGCTTGCTCTGAAGGGCCAGGAAGTCTGTGTGTGAGAGCAGGTAGCCGCCAGGTGCTCTCCTGTGATACCATGCACCCATCTGTACCCTCCTCCCCATCTTCACGCCATCAAAGTTAATTCATTCAATCTACAAGGATTGATTTAACACCTACAGTATGCCATTCATTTTGGTGAACAAGTCCAACATGATCTCTGCTCTCGTGGAATTTATAATCTGGGTCAGTTGCTCTCAAAGTGTGGCCCCTGGCCAGCGGCATCCGCATCACCTGGACATGTGTTAGAAATGCACATTGCAGAATATTAGAGCTGTACCTCACCCAACCATGATCCTCACCACAACCTCACAGAAAGGACGTTGGAACCTGGAACCCCCAGACTTGATAGGTCAGAGACTCTGGGGGTGGGGCCCAAGCAATCTGCGTGTTTAAACTCTGGGATTCTCGTGGATGCTAGCTGGAGAGCCACTAATTTAAAGGGGGGAGACCTTACCAATACATGCCATTTAATAAAGGCATAAGATTTAATACAAGAACTAGAGATTGTGACAAAGGGTGGGAAGAAAAATAAGCAGGTGCTGAAAGAGAACCAGGGCGACAGAGGGAGAGAGATCTGACCTCTGACCACAGGGCCCGCTCCCCTGCGCTGTGGAGGATCCAACTTATATTGGTGCTGACTCTTCTGTCCCCTTTCCTTCTGTTCCCGGTAAAAGTCACACCCTTGGTCAGCAGCCCCACACTTGCAGTATGCCAAAGGAATGGTAATCAAAACCTCAGGAAATCGCCTTTGACACATGGTCAGATGTTGCCTCTTAGTCTTACCAAGATTGGGTGCATTAATGTTCATTTTCCAGGTGCTTGAGTCCATATCACCCCAGTGAATGGAGGCATACGGTAACCTTAAGGGTTTTCATTTGCCGTAGGAGCCAGTAAGCTCCCCAGTGAGGAACTGCTGCATTCCTGAGGCTTACAGCATGACCCAGTTGTGGCATGCGCACTCCTGAAATCCCCATCGCTTGCTAATCTGTCTCCCACTCTTAAGAAGCAAGCGCTGAGCTTGAGGTTTCACTGTGATATCAGCCCACTCACCTGGCAGCGCAGCTGCAGTGAACACCAACAAGCCTACCAAAGTGTTACAAAAAACAACGTTCGTGGCTCATGCCTTCCCAGTGAGAGACAGCGGCGCGATTAGTCCCTGAGCTATGCCGTTTTTGGGGCAGGGAAAAAAGCCAATGGAATTTTTAGCTTTTGGGAAGGGGAAGAAAGACAGAATAAAATTAGGCCTAGCGTTGCTTTCTAGCTCCCTACATTTTCTGTGCTTTGATCTAATGGATTTCTGGAAAGACTATAAATAGGGCAATGGGGTGTTGAAGCAACAAGAACTATGCACACAAAGATGTCCCATTTATAGAACAAGGACAAAGAGTGAAATAAACACTCACCATGGGGAGGTGCGGATGTCAGGAATGCCACCTCCTCTCCACTCACTCCCTCTCCCGCTTCTCTGTCATTCAAGCCCAGGATCACTTACCAGATCCGGAGGACAAACGTTTACTCCCCGTCAGCATGGTATGTGCCCTTTGTCATCACGTTGGGCTCCACGTTGCTTCTGGTTCTCCTGGTGGCTCTGGTCATCCAGTTGGCCAAAGCCATCCACAGACACTGTCCCTACAAGCCTGGGAAGCACAAGAAACCTCTGTAAGTTGCCTGTGGGCTGGGCCCTTTCCCACGACTTCCTCTAAGACACTGTTTCCAGTGATGTCAGGCGAAGGAAAGAGAGAAAATTCCTTTGCAGGGTAAAGAGGGTGCCTGGTGTGAAGGAAGGAAAAGGACACACGGGGAAAGGATCCTAGCTGCCCTTTGTCACAGAGTACCCTCTTCCTCACCTGCTGGGCCAGGAGACGGTTCCTTTGGTTTTCCTGGGCATTGCCCTGTCCTCGATGTGTTTGTTCTCAAAGAAATTGGATTTCAACCCCTCGATGACTTGCCCTGGATACATGTTTCAGAAAAAAAAAAAGCCCACCTGTGAGTCATGTTAGATATGCTGTGCTCATCTTTGTAGAATATTTAAAGATGGAATAGAATTAGAGGAAGCACAAAAAACAGATAAGGAAATTAAGCGTTTGGCTCCAGCAAGTCAATTGAGCTTTCGTGTAACTAAATAATACTTGTTCTTTTTTACACGTGGCCCTAATCTTTCACTCTCTAGGGCTGTAAATACAGACCTGTTTCCTCTCCGCCTGCTCTCCACTAACACTCCTGCAGGGGTTCTTTTAGTGGCCATCTGAGGCACGAGGGTAAAGCAAGAGATCTCTAGATTATTATAAGCTTCCCCACAGCCAGTTTCCTGAGTTTCAGAAGCTCTTACCATTAGAACGAGGTGGTTCAGAGCCTGGGCTTTGGCCTTAGATAAGGCCTGGGTTCAAATCTTAGCTCTACCATTTCCTAAGTATGTGGCTTTAGGCAAGTGGCAGCCTCTGTCCTTTTTTGAAAACTAAACAATTAGGTGAACAAATGCAAAGAAAGCACTTAGTACTGTTCCTGATAGAAATGCTTCAACACCCCGTTTTTTAAAAGCTTGTCGTATTATTTTTTCGTGGCTCATTGAGCTCAGGATTCTAGATTCCCAGTTTAGCAATAAGCCCAAGAATCTTACGGTGTTGAGAACTTGAGTTTTAGAATTTCTCACTGGCAAAAGAAGGGGTGATAAGACTCATGTGCCTTTGAAAGGTATTTTGAAGACTAACTAGTACTATCAAATAATCTAAAATCTATAGATGAGAGACCCAGAATAAAATCATAAGGCATTAGCATAAAGATGTGCTTTGCATTTTGCCATATTTATTGGGGAAGTTGCTATTGGCAACCTTGACTTCAAGGTAAGAAATCCTTTAGCATCTGCTGAAATTTAAAAAGGCATTTTTGTTTGGACTCTACTCACAAATTAATTTTTTTTTTGGGGGGGGGGGGAATTGGCTCCAAAAAGTGATGCTTAAACTTGTAAAGATGGTGGTACTCTGTAGGGGGATTTGAGCAAAAGATCTTAAAGCAAGTCAGTTATCCAAATTGCTGCAATTCACAAGCAATTTATGGTTAAATGTTCAATATGCACCTTGTACCTATTTGCTTTACCTTACATTTTAAATATTAGTCATTTTCAACATGGTTGACTTAAAAAAAACAACAACACACACACACACACACACACACACACACACACACAAAAAAAAAACAACTCGCTAGTAATTCAGACTCAGACTTGCTCTCTCTGGAAATTAGTTATATCACGTGGCAGCCAACATTTGTTCAATAGCAAAATAGAGCAAAATCAGAGAATCCAAGGTTATCAGGGAAAGGGTCTTAGAGTCCAAGGCCTGCTCTTTATGTTACCAGAAACCAAGGTTTAGCTGCCAGCCCTTGAGCCATCCTGCTGTGAGCTAACACTTCTGCTCAGCTAGCTACTAGGGAAAAAATGGGGCAGGAAGAATTGCCGGTCTGATTGGGGTTGTTAAGCCTCATCCAGTTTATCAGAGAGGATGTTTGCCCTGAAGTTCTAGAAAGCAATAATTTTCAAACTTATCAAGCTCTCAGAACCTCCTCAGTCCCAGACCAAGAGTGATGGAGCTGCTCTGTTTGGAGCAAGGGTGCGAGCCCAGCCTCCAATTTAGTCCCCATCCTTGGCCCCTTTCCATCAACTCCTGAATCCCAGGGAACACACTTGCCCAAAAGGCCCCCGTGTGATGAGTGTACGAGTACAGAATGCTCTAAGGTTAATTCTTGTCTGTTCCTTCCCCCCCCCCCCATAGGATGAAGAAAGGAGGTATGTATGGTGACTACTCCCTTTGTTGCTGTTATTATTATTATCATCATCATCATCATCATTTTTGCTGGTTCTGTATTAGTACGTAAAAGGGCTCCGACTTGGCATAGAATCAGGATGTAATCCTGTCTGGGTGGGTTTTTAGCCTCATCACCCATGGGTGGAGTGAAACAGGTCAGACGTAGCTGGAGAAAAGGAAGGTTGAGATACTCGGTGCTGTTGGCCCACTCGAGTCACTCATTTTGGCCCCACCTCTTCCCTACCCAGAGTCACTTCTAATCAGCTCAACCTAAGTACCTAGAGATCCGTTCCCCACTGGGTGGGAAAGGATCGAAGAATTCTCTGTGGGTGAAATACCAGGCGATATCTACTCTCTGCTGACCCCTCCTGAGGACAGCTAATGCTCTGTATTGGACGGATGCCTCTTTTTAAAGGACAAATGATACTTTATTCTGAGATTGTAATGGATTTTATTATTTCCCAAGTTATTTAGGTCAGGCTAGTGAAAAGCGGGGGCTGGTGTAGTCCTATGGGCTGGGAGAACGGAATGATTTCCGGGACGTTGGTGAATTGAGCAAAGTCGATTTGACCAACTCTAAGGTCTCAGGCTAAGGAGATGTCACCACCTGGTCCCAAAAGATTGTAGCCTCAAGGAGAACCCAGGCCACGGGGAGAGACAGAACAAAACATTGGGAAATGCGTTTTTAAAAATGATTGTTTTAATCACTCCAATCATAGGTTTGTGTGTTTGACATGCACACAGCATATTGGAGCAGGATTAGAAATTTAATTATAATGGTTATTAATCACATCGAATGGGATGATTTAAATAAATGAGATTTTCACAAATGGTCTCCCACCCTAGTTCCTTTCTTAAAAGGGCATAGGGAATGGGTACAAGGAATCCCCACATTATGAACAAATATATCAACTCTTTCTTTCTTACCTATAACTTATTTAAAACTAAATTCCATTTAAAAACGAATTTCTTAGGTCCAATAATAATAAGCTGGAAAAAGAGCAAAAAAGGGTTTTTTTGTTTTATTTTTTAATTCTATGTATTGTGTGTATTGTGAGGTGTGTGTGTGTGTGTGTGTGTGTGTGTGTGTGTGTGTTTCTGAGGAGATGGAAAGCCATCAACAAACATGTCTCCAGAGAAAATGTTTTTGCCATGTCTGCCATTCTGATTTCAAAGCCTGTTTAAGAGAAATCCCATGTGGAGGTAGAATTTTAAGGTCAATTTAGTGTCCAAGAAGCTTAACGTCTGTCTGTTCTATCCCCTGCAGAAATGAAGAGCACAAAGAGAGAAGTGGTGGTGGTAAGCTTGGCTGGCCACGGGGTGCCTGGCTTGGGTGGAGGATTGTGGGGGGGTCTCCCGTCCCCCTCCCAGGCAGGCCCTGCCTGAGCCTCAGGGGGAGTTTATCATTCCGGGAGATGCTTGTATTTGGCCACTGGAACAGATTGCTGTGTGAAGTGCTTCGTAGAATTTGTTCCCTCCACTGAACATGTCTGCTGATATATTTGCAGAAGAACTGGATTTCATAAATATTGAATAGTGGTGTTTATTATCTACACCAGCTCTCCAGGAGAGTGAGTTGGGGAAGAAGAGCTTAAAGACCAATATTTAAGCATTAGCCTTCTATAGGATTTCTTTCCTTTGCCCTTCCATAACCTTGGGGGAAAAGTGCTAAAGTGCAGTTCTTGGGTCTAGGACTGGCTCTGCCCACTTGGACATATGATCTTGCAGACTCCCTCAGCCTCCTTTTAAAATATATATATTTTATGGGCATTTTTTTTGGAGAGAAAGAGGGAGAGGGAGAGAAACATCTATGCGAGAGTAGAACATTGATTGGCTGCCTCCCGTTACACTCCAACCAGGGATTGAGCCACAGCCCTGGCATGTGCCCTCATCAGGAATCGAACCTTTTGGGGCGATGCCAAACAATTGGGCCACACTGGCCAGGGCTCCCTCAGCCTCTTTAAGCTTTAGATTTCTCATCTGTGGGATGGGAGTGAGGATGCCTGCCCGGAGGTAACAGGTGGGGAGATATTTTGGAAAATGTTTAGAGTCACACAAATGCAAACTTTGTGGCTGGAAAGTTACCCCTGCTTACCGCCTTGCTTTTCTTTTACTGAGTGATGACGCTTAGAGAAGACACCCCTCCACACACACCTCCCCCAACGTCTCATAATAAGACTTTATTATGATCCCAGACCCATCACTTTGGGGAATGATAAGCACATCCAGGGGGACAATTCAGTGCACTGGAATGTTTGCTTCAGGCTCATCAGCTAAGTATTTACAGGTGTCGGCCTTGATACAAACAAGATGTAGAGGTGATGTCTTGTTTCCAGGTGTTGTTGTCTAAGGCAAGTGTCCTTCATTCAGAGACTGCCTCAGACTTATGTAATATTAAGTTAATCAAGTAAATAAAAAAAATATCTCCAAGACCATAAAAAGTGGGGCTGCTAAGCTGATTAGATCGACGAAACCCATCCAGTCTGCATTTCCTCTCTCTTCCGTGCTGGGGAGTAAGTGAGTAGGGGTTGGTGTAAGTGATAAATACTGGGATTGAAGGGCTCAGGAAACTCCAAACACAGCCCTCATCAGCATGCCAAAGAATGACACCCTTGGAGGACTCCGTGTGAGGGAAGAGAGCGTTTCAATGGGGTCGGAGGTCGGGTCCTAGAGGGTGCCACAGAGAACAGGTCAGGGGGAGAAGAAGATATGGAGCACAGGGCTTGGGTAAGGCAGGCCAAGCCCTGATGTAACACTGCACAAACTTAAGGGACACAGCCAGAGCCCAGGGTGGGAGCACATGGGTGCTCTTCTGTGCCTGCCTCACACGTCTGCCCGGCAGTGGGCTTAGGCAAGGCAGGTCTTAGCCGGTGCTTGTAGCATTTCTGCTCTTTCTTCCATGCAGCGTAGACACCTTTTACTCAGGATGCTTTCCTACCCCTGAGTCTGGGCTAAATGTCCTTCTCCTACTCCCACCTGCATCCTTGTAGCATCCTCTGTCCCCTCTCCCCCATTTAGTCCTTCTCACTCTGTACTGTAGTGCCAGTATGTCAGTGGCCTTACACTTGATTGCAAGCTCTGTGCGGGCAGTAACCACTCCTGCCTGTTCACTGCATCTAGCACGGTGCCCATGGAGTAAATAAGTGCCCAGAAGGCCCTGGGTAAGAAGCTGAGGCTGTAAGGATGTGGCCTTGCCTAAGAGGAGGATGGTGCTTGATACTGTATGAGGCTGTGCTGGCAGCTGTCTCTCTTCTCTCCTCAGCAAACCATCCAGATGAGCACTGTCTTCGATGGTGAAGCCACAGACCCAGGTAACTAAGGGGCAATGCCACCCATTAGAGTGTTCTGCATATTCCAGGCTGGTAGAACCTTGTCCAATATCATGCCCTTACCTCAGTTTTGATCCATTTGGTCAGCTATACGGTGCTGACCCTTCTAGACTGCAGTACAAGGTGAGACCAGCTCTGAGCTGAGCTGGCTTGCAGACACGGGATGGCGGGCAAGGTCTCAGAGGGTCTCCACCTCCAGGCTTCTCCTCAAGGACCATGCCGCTGTCTAGCCTCCCTTTCCAAACCACCAAGTCAAGGAACTGGCAAATTCAAGAACCCCCATGACTCCCCCCTGCTCATTGGGACTGAGCCTCCACCCCTGATCCTTTCTGAATGCTTCCAATGCCATCCTATGTGGGAGTGAGAGATACAGAGCAATGGGATGGATGGCTTCTTTTTTTTTTCTTTTCTTTTTTTTTTTTTCTCCAGACCAGGGCCAAGAATTTCTTCTTGGTTGGCAAGATAAACAGAAGGTAAAGCTGGCCTCCAGAGCTCTCCTCACCCCCATGAAACCAGCTCCAAATTTAGCTCCTTTACACACATCCTTCCACTCACAAAGGCTCAATTATAGACATGAATAAAGGGAAGGAAACCACATTCAGGAGGCAAGTGTGCTGGCTCCCTGCCATGCTCACATGCAAAGGGCTCGGTCGTCCTCGCAAGGGGGATGGCTCCTCTCCAGCACGGGCTGCTGCCGCTGCCGCTGGAATTAAATTTCCCTCTATTATTAGGTACTTGTTACCATAATGTGCCCGCATTAGCATAAGTGCTGGTGGATCCTCCGCGGAGAGGCCGCTCGCGCTGCATGGAGACAGCAGGTGCAGGGGCTCGCCTGGAGCTCCGAGGGAGAGGCCAGGGAGCCGGGGCCAGCGCTCTGTGTGTGTGTGTGTGAGTGAGTGAGAGAGAGAGAGAGAGAGAGAGAGAGAGAGAGAGAGAGAGAGAGAGAGTGTGTGAGAGAGAGAGAGAGAGAGAGAGAGTGTGTGTGTGTGTGTGTGTGTGTGAGAGAGAGAGAGAGAGAGAGAGAGAGAGAGAGAGAGAGAGAGAGAGAGAGTGTCTGTGTGTGTGTTTGCAGCAGGAAGAAGGAAGAAGTGAGCCAACCGGACAAATGTGAACAGACACGTCAATTAGCGTCCGCTGGCTCCGACGCGATACAAATGGCCCCCCTGCTTCCTCTCCACGGGGGCCAGATTGGTGTGCCCGTGTCCACACACCTCTGCTCCCCGAACATAAATGCTGATCGAAGTCTTCACCTCCTCCCTCGGCGAATGCCTTTTAAGAGCAGGCATTCCGGCGTCTTTTAAGACAAGGCGGAATGAGACGGGTAACCCCATTAGGAAGTGAACCTGATTTGTCCGAGGCTGCCACAGAGTCCCAGATCTGTGTGGCCTTCTCGTCTTGCAGTGGAGACGGCCCGAGACTCTCCGAACCTTCCTACCCGCGGAGGCAGAGCCTTTGCTACCAGGGTGGAAAGGGCAGGCTGGTGAGGACTGCTGGCACTGCTCACAAGCGTGCTTTCCATCCCTGCGATTCTCAGATTCTCACCTGCTGGCATTCTTCATCTGCTCCGGGGCTGGGGCTAGACAGGGTGGAGATGGGGAGGAGAGAGTCATTTGTTTACAGGGTCATTGTATTTCCACCTCTCCCCCCAGTTACTGGTGCAAAGTATGAATTCAACTCAAGAACTGGAGCCAGAAAGTGGAAAGGTTCCTTAATGCAAACATCAAACTGGAAAGAGTCCAGCCACCCGGGGGCTGCTGCAAGCAGCGCTGTCTCCGCGGGAGGGACCGGGCCACGGAGGAGCACCCACAAGGAAGGAGATGGGCTGAGCGGCCAAGCACAGGCTGCGGATGGAGGCCCAGACTCCAGAAACGACCATGGCAAGCCGGGCATCCCAAAGGACAGAGACCCCGCCCTCCAGAGCAGAGCTTCCCCCAAACCTCGCCCAGGGAAGTGAGTGGTGTGTGGTTGCTAGTCCCACAGAAGAGCAAGAGAGGGACCTCAGCACTCTGAGGGATGCTGCCTCCCCCTAAATTCTACGAGAGCCTGTGAGGTGCCACGGGAGGAGAAACACGGCCTGAAGGGATTCGGAGACCCAGGGTCCGACATGGGATGTTGAAAACAGCACAAAAGGGTTTGATGGCACAGTTGCCTTTTTCTGAGACGGCACAGGAGACATTGGTCCCAGGTCTTCGTGCCTCTACTCAGCTGGGCTGCTAACATTTGGACATGGAATTATTGTGTTCCTTCTTCCCATTGATTGCTCGGAAGCTCCATTCAGCCCATCCCTAGGCAGAACACAGAACTTTCTGATATTAATGCTGAGAACTACCCACACACCTGATTTCATCTTCTTTTCCTGCCTTCCTTTTAGCATGACCCAGAATTCTTCATTTATAAATACAGCTCAACACCATCCACCTTTGTAAGTCACCTTAAATCTTTTTCAAAAGAAACCATGTAGTGAAAAAGAAATGGGTGAAGCCCTAGCCGGCTTGGCTTAGTGGATAAAGTGTCGGCCTTCAAACTGAAGAGTCGAGGATTCGTTTCAGTCAAGGGCTTATGCCTAGGCTGTGGGCTCAATCCCCAAATAGGGAGCGCCCCTGTGCAGGGAACAGTCAATCAATGATTCTCTCTTATCATTGATGTTTCTATCTTTCTCTCTCTCTCTCTCCCGTCCTCTCTGAAATCAACAACAACAACAAATTTTTTTTTAAAGAAAATGAGTGAATAGATAGTGGGTTATTCTTTTGGAAAGAAAAAAACAGCAAACACCTGCTTTTATTTTTTTATTGAGGCACAACTTATATTCAAGGTAGTCAGCTCAATAGCAGGCTCCTCCCAGAGGCAGGAGGGTCGTTATCACCATAGATTAGTTTTGCTTATTTGAGCTTCACAGGTGTGCCCTTTCGTGCCTGGCTTCTCTTGCTGGGTATACCACGTCTGTGAAATTCACCCTTGTCGTACTGTAGATCAGCAGTCCAGTTCTCTTCACTGTTGTGGAGGCTGCTTTAAGCTTTTCGCTGTTATAAACTCAGCCTGTGAACTTTTTCATGCATGTCTTCTTGTGAGCACAAACGTGTTTCTTGGGAGCATGTTCCTAGGAGTGCTCAAGCCATTGCTGGAGTCTGCTGAGAATTCCAAAGTTCCACTCTATACTTCCACCAGCAATGACTGAGAGTTCTGGTTGCCTGCCTTCCTTGTCCACACTTGGTGTTGTCAGTCCTTTTAATTTTACCCATCCAGATTTAAAATTTTTCATGAAATGAAGTCACTTTTTTTTTCCTTAAAGCCAAAAACCAACCAACCAAACAAAAAGAAAGAACCCAACAACAATAACACACACACACACACACACACACACACACACATACACACACACGAACCTTGCTGCCTCCCTACCCTGCTCCTCTCCTGCCTCCTGATATTGAGGGAGCCAGGAGTTGACTGGGGACACCTGGGATACTCTAGCTAACCCTGCAGCTGGGGTGAGCAGTGACCTGGGAATAAACCAGACCACGATGGGGTAGGAAATGGAACTTTCCAGCGTGTGACTCGTGGAGACGGAGCAATCCCTCCCTGTCCTGTTCCCCAGTGGCAGAAGCATCAGTCCAAAACCCACAAGATAGGACCAGGGGAAGAGTCTGTCAGAGCACCAGCTCCTGCCCAGTTTTGAGGACTCCCCACAATAGCCGGTAGGGGGCACTCAAGATCCATCCTGCAAATGCAGAACCTCAGAGGGTGATGCGGCAGATCTATTGTGTGCCTGCGTGCCAGTGTGACTTCTCAAGAAAGAGAAACGTTTCAAAAAATGCTTGGCCTAGAGCAGGCAATGATTAATTAATAAGGGTTGGTTGCCGGGGAACTCCCTGGAATAGGTTTAAATTTTGCAAAAGAAGGCAGAGCTGTTCATTTGCGGAGGTTAAAGTGGGTGAAGTGGCCGATTACCCATTTAAGACTCTGAAAGTCTGTGGAGCTCCCAAGTAAAGCGCCTTCCTCAGGAGCTCTCGGCCTCAATGCAAATAGAATGAGGCTTGGAGAAGGCTGAAGGGGGACTTAATAACTGTTTATGAGCCCATTAAGGATGATTAGAAGGAGGGCGGTGAGCAGCTGTTCTCCTTTCTTCAGCGATGACAGGGCTGGAGGGAATTGTGCTTCTCGGCCAGGAGAGATTTAAGCGCAGAGAGGGAGGGGCTTCCCGAAGGCTGGGGGCTGCTTGAGAACCTCACTCTCTTCCTTGGTGATGGGCAGGAAGAGCTTCCTGTCTTCCCAGCCCCAACACGTGAACCCTGAGGAACTCCAGACCTGGGGTCAGGGGAGCACCAGGAGGCTTTGGCCCAGAGAAAACCTGCCTTTTCTTTTGCCCCTTTGGCTACTTAATTAGTGGAAATCAGAAGTCTGAGGTCCAGGTTAAGGCCATTAACCAGGTTTGGGGAAAATAAAAGTGAACTGGCCCTAGCTGGTTTGGCTCAGTGGATAGAGCATCAGCCTGTGGACTGAAGGGTCCTTGGTTTGATTCCGGTCAGAGGCACATGCTGGGTTGTGGGCCCTATCCCCAGTGGGGTGCGTGTGGGAGGCAGCTGATCAATGGTTGTCTTTCATCCTTGATGTTTCTGTCTTTCTCTCCCTCGTCCTTCCTCTCTGAAATCAATAATATATATATATATATATATATTTTTTTTAAGTGATCTGAATGAAATGAAGTCGAGGATCATTACAGATCTTGTGAAATATTCCCCTTTTTCTCTCCCAAGGCCTTAGACACAAATGAATGTATTAGAACTAATTTTGACCTGTCTGATTTTGAATCATTATAAAATTGGGGCAAAGACATTCAGGGATTAGACCACAATTAGAGGGATCCCTAATTGTTGAGGGATTCATGTGGTGAATTCTCAAGTTTGAGCTTCTCGTGTGCTCAATAGGAGGCAGGGACCAGGGACCACATTTCTGCGTTGAAGCACGTGTGGCTCAGTAACAGAAAATGGGCAGTGACACACTCGCTCCTCAGAGCCCTCGTTCACATCTGTAGTTCTATCATTTGCCTTTTTATGAAATGTGTTGTGATGGCTGAGAAAATTAAAGCAACAAAACGAGTGAATATAGAAAATGACTGCTATTAAAACTTGATGTTTCTCATTTTAAACTTCATGTGCGTGTTTATACCTCCCACTCATTCAATAACTATTTATGGAGCATCTACTGTGCATGAGGTGAAGACTCAGAAGTAAGCACAGCAGCCCAGACCCCTGCCCTGGGGGAGCTTACATCCTGTCTGCTAAGGCTAGGTACAGCCTGCTCTTAGTAAGCATCCCCAACGGTTCTATGTCCAGGTCCATCCTGGCCTATTTATTTCTGGGTTCCTTGAGTGTTTCATCTGAAAGGTAAATTAACCAAAACCTGGAATCTCCTTTTTGAAGGAACAGATAATTCAGAACCATTTAAATATTTCTACAAACGTAATGGGTAGCCGTTGTCAGAGAATAGTTGAGATGCCCACACACGGGCCCAGCCTTGGGTTATCAGGCTAACATCCTGTTTACACACCTCCAGATGGCAGCTTGGAAGCAAGGAAGATGGGGGATGGAAGTATCCTGAGTGAAACACTTGAGCTGGAGCTCAGGGAAAAGGTCAAACAGAGGTGGGAGAATTTGGGGGGAGACTCAGATCACCGAAACTTTCCTATGTGTCACCCGTATTGGTGCAAGATGCGGCTCCTCTTCTAAGGGAAAGAACCAACTGAGAAGAGAACAGGCTGATGGACCAAAGAACTAAATGAGTTTCATGGATAGTGAATACTGGACCAGACTCTGAACGTATGATGGGAGACCTGGGACCTCAGAGAAGGATCTTAAAGGTAGAGATAGGTTCAAAGTGGGAGAGAAGAGAAATTTTGAGCAAAGACGAAAGCATTCCGAATTCTGATCTGTAATCCATTTCCCACCAATACTTGTCCTGTGTAACCTGGAGTGAGTAACCACAACCCAATACAGAGCCTCCTGGGTATGTAGCAAGTACTCAGCAGGCATTTGTAGAACTGGATTGAAATAAGCGTGGGTGTAGTTTGTTTTCTACTCAGGTTATGTAGCAGCCACAACTTTTCTAACCAGATCTGGACAAACATCATCATAATCAACAACAGTTACCAAGTGCCTAACTAGTACCTGCATGGTTCTAGGCTCTGGGGACCCAGCCGTAAATAAAACAATGTTCTTAGTGTTTGCATCCTAATGAGAAACGTGACATTGAATATACAAATAGACAAGGGCCAGACAATATACAGAAATAGGACTCCGACCTACAACCTTTAGCAGTCTGTCCAGGAGACCAACCCCCTTTCCAGGAAGCTGAGTGTGGCTTCTGAAACAACCAGCCCAAGTGGCCAGAACTTAATTAACATAATTAAGAGCTTCCATAATTTTTGTCTCTGTTTCCAACTTAGGACTGACCAGTGAAAGCTAAATATGCACCCACAACCAATCACCCAGGGTGCCCCCTCCCTACTTACCCACCTACAGCTGCCCCATGCCAACAGCCTCCAATCCAGGCACATCTGAAGCCTTCCTTTTTTCAAGATAAAGCTTTTTCATTCCTCTGCTCTCTTCTGAATCTCTGCTAAAATGCAAGTGACAGTGGCTGACTCCCTGGCCATAGTGAGCTATGAATAAATAGTCTTTGCTTTTCTTACATGGTTGTTCCTTATTTATTTCTACTGGGATGAGAGAAAGGAGAGAGAGAGAGAGAGAGAGAGAGAGAGAGAGAGAGAGAGAGAGAGAGAGAGAGAGAGAGAGAGAGAGAGAATTGTGGTAAATGCTATTGAGACAAGTGAACAGGGTCATGGTGATGGAGGGTGGTGTTGGCCATGGTAAGTAGGGTGGTCAAGGAAGGTGCCCTTTAGCGTGAGAGGGAAGCAGTGGAAGTGGGGAAAGAGCCATGCAGGTAACTGGGAAGAACCTT